TCTTTCCCTTTTCGTGAGATGCAATTCCGATGAGTTTATATAAACATCAATTTAAATATAGAATCTCAAAGAATAAACACGTCTCATAGGTTTATCTTTCATGTCTCTCTCTACTAATGTAGACATAAATATCATCTAGAATTATTAGGACTTTATTAAGCTTTTAATATGTGACTTAGGTGAAGGTAGAATATCGAAAATTTTTTTTGGCTCAAATCACCTTTCAAAGCACATTAATCACTCTAAGCTTCTGTACAACTTAATTCTCCATTCAAGTAACACCGTCAAGCACGTTCACTTCACTAACTCAAATTTGTTAATTTGAGTTAAGAAAGTGGATTTGAGTTGTAAAAAATTTGAGTTATTTGGACTTTGAGCTAAGTGTTTAGGAGAAAATTGATTTGACATTTAAAACTTGAGTTTTGTGTTCACTTGTACTAAAGCCAAATTCTAATTACAAAGAAGTTTTCTTTTCTGCAGAGGCAATCCGCACTGTAGAACTAAACTTGAGCAATGAGAAAACAAGGGGTAGGTGAAACTCACCAACTTGAGTTATTATTCGAGTTTGAAATTCGAGTTGTGTTTAGTGAACGTATAACTCGATCCATTTCACACTCGAGTTGGGCTTACTCGAATGTGATCTACGACGTGAACGGAAGAATTGAAAGAAACACACGTAACATTGTTCTTTGATTCGAATCATGGTTCATGGTTTGCTACAGTATTTTTTCTCATAAAAAACACACGTAAATTGAAAATGACTCTAATCTCATGATTTTAATCTATGAACCAAACGGGCTCTTAGTGATTTCCGTTACAATTATCTTTTGATCAACCAATCAAGTAGTGCATTCATGGAAATTGTGTGTGTGTGTGTGTGTTTTTTTTTCTTTCTTTTTTATTTTTATTTTTTTTCTTTTTAGTTTCAAAAACTGTATTGTTCTTATTCACTTTTCATATTTTGTTCATTTTCAGTTTGTAGTAATTTTCAGCAATATACTTGTTTAGGTAGTAATTTTCAGCCAATCAGTTATCTTTGAATCCTCCAAACGGGCATATAGTTCAGAGGCATCCAATTATGATAAAATGGAATGAGTTATTAATAATATGATTATTTTTATAAATATTCTTAAATTGTGTTTTCTATTTTAAAGTGGCCCATGATTTTTTAAAATGATTTAAAACTCTTCTTATTTATAAAAAATAGATCAAACTCCCTTTTTCGTTTAAATCAATCTATAATCTTAATAGATTTCTGACTCATTAAGCATCAATTTAACTCACTAAGGAGATGTTTGGAAGGGAGATTCGTGTCATGATTCGAATTATGATTCATGACTTGCTACAGTATTTTCTCTCACAAAAAATACACGTAAAACGATAAATGGTTTTGAGTCGTGATTCTGAATCTATGAACCAAATAAACACTAATTAAACATATAAAAATGGTTAGATATTTAAAAAATAAAAAAAGAGAGAAATGATTTATTTCAAAATTAAATGACAGGTTTTGAAGAAATTGGACAGAGAGGGTAGTTTGATATTTTTTTACATATTCATGGTGTTTTGAATCGTTTTAAAAAATCAGAAAGTATTTTGAGATAGGGTACATAATTTGAGGGACAATTGTGAAAATAATCCTTAATAATATACATATCAAACTAAATATGTAATTAAGATATTTATTAACAGATGTGAAAAAGCCCGAACGAAGTATTAAGAGAGTTAAATATAAATATACTAATCAATGAAAACATAGAAAGGCGCATTAATAAAGTCAATAGTAGAATGAATTAAATGATCAAAGTATGAAGAAACTCGGAAAAAAAATTGAAAAGGAAGAATAGCAGAGAGAAAATATAGAATTCTGGGTGAGAAGAGAGATCTCGTAGAGCAATTCATGTAACAAGATTATCAAAAGATCAAATAGATAAGATATGTAAGTTCGAAAATTCTATTGACCCATAAAGCCCTCTACAAGTGATCGTCCGACAATGGACTTGTATGTCTTCTAATCATACAATACAATATTTTGTAGAGAAGAATCCTAAATGAATTTATTAAGATCAGCTAACCCGTTCAGTTTGCTGATTCGAATTTTTAATTCGAATTCAGATGTGATTTTATATGAAAATTTTTTTACTGTAACAAAAAAATTAGATGTGACTGATTTTAAGAGCTTTTTACTGCAACAAAACTCGAATTCTAAATTCTAATCGGTAAAATGAACGAGACTTAAAACTAATTTCATCAACTACAATATCTAAAAAATAAACTTTTAACTACAACATCAAAATTGGATAAGTAAAACATAATCAAAATATCATGCAAGACCCAGATAGTAAAAGCATTTAGTTTCCATGATTTATAGATTATGAAAGAAAATATATAAGGACACCGTAGACATATAAACTCTCACGAAAACAAGCGAGAAGAATTCATTTTGATATTTTTCATTTTATTGATTTGAGTTTTCAGTTCTAAATTTTTATCAATTAAAAACTCTCAAATACTATCGCATCTGACTTTTATAATTACAGTTAAAAACTCTCCAACATGTTCGAATTGAGCGAACGAGACCTGCTTTAACAACTTTGTTTGTTAACTATACGAAAACACGAACCTGTTAAGCGAATCGATCTCAGGACGCGACAGAAAGCGATAACCCCAACCTTAATGACTCTGTAATCTCAATGTAACTCCCTTGAAGAAGAGGTGAAAATTGGGGAAAGAGAAGCGGGAGGGAAATTCCTGTTCAGAAGAAACTTGAGATGTTCATAACATGATCTACTTAAAAAGAGAGAATTTGTTAGATTTCCCAAACAAACATATCGAAAGTTTCAATAAAATCAGAGAGAGACCTTTTTAAAACTCAGGAACGCTGGGACCAGAATGAGAGAGAGAGCAATCGAAGGTGAACTCAACAGCAGAAGTCTACCCTCGATTCCTCCGATTACATTTGTGCGAATTAGGGCGCAAAAGATAGTAGAAGAAAGCTCCTAAACCAAAACCCAAGCCGCTTTGCAGGGCTTCCCATTTTGCTCTTCTGCGCAAGTTTGTAAATAGAAACTACCCAGCTCAGTGAAGAAAACATTTTTGCCATTTTCAGAGAGATTGAGCTACAGAGAATCATTGCTATTTGGCTACTCTCAGAAAATGAAAGACAACAGAGAAGAAGAGAAAATATGAAGGGCCCGTTTGTTTGCGTTTTCGTTTTCGTTTTTCACGGTTTTCAAAGCAAAAAAATGAAAACGGGTGTTAAAAACGTGTTTGGTGCAATTTTTTTTAAAAAACAAAACCAAAAACGTTTTTGTCTTTTTGTGGAAATCAGAAAACGAAAAAAAGGTGTTTTCATTTTCTTGTTTTCGTTTTCTGTTTTCTGAAAAACGGATTTCACTTTTTTTTTTTTTTTTTTTCATTTTCTTCCCTCTTTTCTGAAACCGTTTTTGTATTATATATGTTTATTTAATATATTTATTTAATATAATATA